CTGCTCAACTCCAGATTCAGCCCACTAATTTTATGTATGGCCATGTATATCTTTCATTGTTACCTTTCCAATTTAGTGTGTAGTTCTCTCAAATGTTCAGCTAAAGTCATGGGGAGTTGGGTGATGTAAAAATAAAATAAAAATATTTTCTGATAGATCATTTGTCATAAGCTCTTTGGGAAAACTGATACATTAGTAGAATAAGGGGTTTTTTTTCGTATTAATTCCTGCATTAAACAGAAGTTCACATGTTATGGACCAATTTTTTTGAATATTGCACACAAAACAGGGAGGGTAAATTAGCTTTTTATAAAATGAAGTGCTATTTACAGCAAAATGTCATGTCAGAGTACCATGATTTGTATTGGAGATGATGAATGGTATTGGCATTTTTCATTTTTGCCTTGGGATTTGGCTGAAGCTTCTTATGTTTCACAGACTGAAATACCTTTGTAAACAGAAAACAGAAAGGGGAAAAATATTTAACATATGAAGTGCTGTATAGACTTCTCCCAAATAGTATAACTATCTTATTTATTTGAAAGATATAAAAAAAGTTCTATGAGGAAATGCAGAATCTATCCTACACACTCTTCAGAATAACTTCACTAATACTAAGGAGATGTATTTGCATAGTTACAGAGTAAGGTCATATAAGTTAACTATCGTGACTATCCGTGACATTTTGATTTGGCTGAAAAGTTCTCAGTATGAAAAACCTTGTGAGCTACTGTCTTCACCCATCAGCATCCAATATAGGCCTCATGCAAAAACTCTCCCAACTCTTTTTACTAGTCAGTGTTTCTCAGCCCTAGGAAGAAGGCAATGGCAAACTACTTTTGAAAATATTGTCAAGAAAACTGCAGGGAATTGTTCAGGCAATTGCCAGGTGTCAAGACTGACTCAAAGGCACACCAAAAAGAAGAAAAAGAAAAAAAAAGAGCTGTTCAGCTTAAGAAAAGACTGCAAATGAGATAAGGGATTAGGTTTATTATTCTTTGAGTACCAAAGATTGTATACTGTTACATCTTACAAGTGTATTTTTCCCTTTCTTTCCAGAAATGGCCCAGTTGAATAGCTGTGATAGTCCAGATACCCCAGAGACAGATGATTCTGCTGAAGGAAAGGTAGTGATTTAACAGCTCCGTTGTAATAGAAAGTATGATGAATAGAAGATGAATTGAAAAGTAAATGTGTTAGAGCAGCCATATTTCTGTTTCAGAAAAAGTCATGTTAATTTGGAATCTTGAGAAATTACTCTTCTTGTCATATATACATACATACAGGCATACATACCAACACATTTTACTGTGGGGAGCATGACCCCATTTAACATTAAAGTTAGTAGTGTCCTGGACTCAGTTGGCTTCTGAATCAACAGTCACTTAAATTTTTGCTTAGGTTGAGCCTCAGCCTGTTCCCTTAAGGAAGGGGGTTATCTGTGCCCGAATGAATGAATGAATGAATGAATGAATGAATGAATGAATGAATGAATGAATTTAATTAATTAATTAATTAATTAATTAGTATGCTGCCCATCTCCC